TAATTGGTGAAGGCGAGTGTTCTCACCCCCTCTCCCAATTGTCCTCTTACCAGCTGATCTAGCGGTGCTAGCCTCTCTGAGTTTGGCCTTGTTTTGATTGGTGAAGGCGAGCGTTCGTGCCCCCTCTCCCAATTGTCGTCTTTTACCAGCTGAGCTAGTGGTGCTAGCCTCTCTGAATATATTGGGCATAGCTGGGTAAGGAGCATGGACGGCTCTCACTGCTGTACAGTCTGTGGAGCCATGCTCCAGACAGATGACGGTCACGATCTGTGTCCTGCCTGCCTTGGACATGACCATCTGGTGGATGCCCTGTCAGAGAACCCCTGCATGAATTGCAGCTTCATGTCGCATGTTGTGAGGGTGGCCCGGCTGGCCCAGTTTCGCCCCAAACTCGGCAATGACCTCCGGCCTTCTGGGCAGGAGGCTCCACCTAGGCGCTCGGAGTGCCGGACTGAGGCCGCAGTCTCTGTGGCCCCTCCTGGGAAGAAGCGAGCCAGGTCTGATAGGGGCCTCTCCGCAAGGGTGGAGCAGCTCTCCGCTGAATTAGCGGAGATGAAGTCCCTTTTTCAGGTACGCCAACTGGGAACTGAACCAGTGGCAGCAACTGGACTCTCCTCCCCACCCATGCCTGAACTGGCTGTGGAGGAAGATGTGCTATCCTTGGCTGCCTCTGCCTCTCACTTTTTAGGTGAGGAGGACGGGCGTTCATCTCGAGTCTCAGAGACAGCTTCACTCTCTTCTTCTCGGAGTGCAGTTAGTGGGTCGGGTGACGGCTCGATGCAGGACGTCATGCGTATGGCCCTGAGACAACTGCAGCTGGACGTCCCGCAACCAAAGGCGTCCACCCCTGGAAGTGCCTTCTTCAGGCGCGGACTGACCCCTCCTTCCTTTTCTGTCCCTCAATCAGAGGAGTTCCTGAGGGAGTTGCATGGTTGCTGGCGGGACCCCAAAGCCTTTGCGCGCCTCTCTGCAGATGGCAGGGTGTTGGCGGCTATGCATGAGCCGGCTGCAGCAGGCTTGGATCGCATGCCAGCGATAGAACCTGCTGTTGCCTCTCTCATCGTGTCACCAGAAGAAGCTCTGCGCAGTCATGTTCGGTACCCACGAGCTCAGTGTCATGTCACAGATTAATTCCTCTGCAGAGCCTATGCCGCCGGAGCGCGTGCTGGCCGCCTAGGTAATTCCTTGGCACACCTAATGCTTGCCCTCTCCGCGTCCCTTCAGGGGACTAGTGGTGCGACAGCAGCAATGGGCTTTAACGATGCAGCGCTTCAGGCCTTTGCACTAATGACGAGGGAGCTTGGGCGTGTGATGTCCTCCTTGGTCCAAGCTCGCCGACAGGTCTGGTTGGCGCAGTCAGCATTGACTGAGCCATGCCGTAGAGCCCTCCGTAATGTCCCAGTGGTGCCGGGGGAGTTGTTCGGTTCGGCTGCCTTGGAAGCACTGGAACGGACTGTCCAGGCACGACAGAGAAGGCAGCAATTTTCGAGCCTTAGCAGGCCAATGCCCCCTCCACCTCCTCGGCATCCAAGGCGCCTGTCGGCTGGCTCCAGCATGCAGCCGCCGCCTGGAGGTCATAACCGGCCGGGTGGGCCTTACCCTCATGCGGTTCAGCAAAGGCCCAGCAGGAGCTTTTGTGGGTTGGTCCACCGACCAGCTGGGCAGGCTCGGATCAGGGACTCTGGCTGCCGCCCGGGGCCGTGGAGGGAGACGGTGATGCCATCAGGCCGACCGTCGGATATTTCTCCCACCAGCAGCTCAGCTATTGGGTTGCTCACGCCGTGGACCCATGGGTGGTTGCTACTCTGACCCATGGTTACTGGCTACAGTTCCGACGGCGGCCTCGTATCTCATGCCGGGTCAAGATGACTGTAATTGCCGACCCGGTGAAAGCTCAAGCACTAGACTAGGAACTTTCCGCCCTCCTGGCCAAGGGCGCAATAGAGGCAGTGGACCCTCTGCAACAACCCAGGGGCTATTACTCGACTTACTTCCTTGTGCAAAAGAGGACGGGCGGGTTTCGTCCCATTTTAGACCTGAGGGGACTCAACCAGTACCTAAAGGAGCTGCCCTTCCACATGCTCACAACAGCAGAAGTCCTTTAAGCTGTCATGAGGGAAGAACGGTTCACGTCTGTAGACCTGAAGGATGCATATTTTCATGTGCCTATTGCGGCAGAACATCGCCGCTTTCTCAGGTTTGCCTATCGGGGTCACCACTGGCAGTTCCGGGTACTCCCATTCGGGCTCTCTCTCTCCCCAAGGGTGTTCACTCGGTGCGTGAAGGCAGCCCTCTCTCCTCTGCAGGCCTGCGGAGTGAAGATTCTGCCGTACTTAGACGATTGGATTCTCTGCGCCCCGTCTCAGGCCTGTGCCTTTCACGACACAAACCGCCTGCTCGCTCATATGTCCCAGTTGGGCCTCAATGTCAACCTGGAGAAGAGCTGCCTGATCCCTTCCCAGACGACCACCTTTCTTGGGGTGGTTCTGGATTCATCTTCCATGAGAGCTCGCCCATCCGCTCAAAGGGTGGCCGGCATACTCCAGCTGGTCAATCGGTTCAGGCTGGGCAGGCAGCTCCCCTATGTTGCCTTCCTGCAACTACTCGGCAAGCTGACATCAGTCACTCGGGTGGTGCCCTTAGGCCTGCTGTCACTTCGCCCCTTGCAGAGGTGGCTCAACAGCTTTCGCCTGGATGCCAGGCTGCACAGGCATCGCAAGCTCGCAGTGACGTGGTCATGTCTTCATGCCTTGACTCCATGGAGGGCCGGAGATTATTTGTCCAGGGGTGTCCCCATGGGAGTGGTATTGTGTCGCAGGGAAGTGATCACGACAGATGCCAGCTCCATGGGATGGGGGGCTGTATGGCAACGCAGAGCGGTTCAGGGCCGCTGGGGTCAAAGAGACCATTCCAAGCATATAAATGTGCTGGAGCTGCGTGCAGTGCACTTGGCACTCAGGCACTTCCTGCCTCACCTGGAAGGGAGGCATGTACTTGTTCGGTCAGACAACACCTCTGTTGTCTACCACATCAACCATCAGGGGGGCACCAGGTCAGCACAACTTCTGAGTGTCCAGAGAGCTCCTGGAATGGGCCTCTCCTCGCCTGTCCACCCTGCGGGCAGCGTACTTGCCAGGGCGACACAATCAGGTCGCAGATTTTCTCTCCCGCCAACAGTCCCCTCCGGGAGAGTGGTCCCTCCACAGCGACATAGTGCTGATGATCTGGGACCGTTTTGGACAGGCAGACATAGACCTGTTTGCGACGGAAGAGTCGACTCAGTGTCCCCTATGGTACTCTCTTACGGGGGCGTCGGGTGCGCTAGGCCAGGACGCATTGGCTCATCCTTGGCCAAGGGTCCTTCTATATGCCTTTCCACCCCTTTCTCTAATTTGGCCAACCCTTCAGAGAGTCCTCAAGGAGGGCCACAGGATGCTGCTGGTGGCTCCGTATTGGCCAGCACGACCATGGTTCCCACTGCTACGAAGTCTATGTCAGGGCGTCCCATGGTGTCTTCCAACCAGAAGGGACTTGCTGTCTCAGTTGGGGGGACTGATATGGCACCCCAATCCTCAACGTCTTCGGCTGTGGGTGTGGCCACTGCAAGGCTAGGACAGCAGCTGACTAGAGTTTCGAGCCCCGTCAGACGCACTATCCTGGGCGCCAGGGCACCCTCTACTTGTCAGCAGTACGAAAACAGGTGGCGCCTGTTTTCCCAATGGTGTTCTGATCACAACAAGGATCCAGTCTCCTGTACAATACCCACCATTCTGGAGTTTCTCCAGTCTCTACTTGGTAAGGGTCGCTGTCCTTCGACGCTTAAAGTTTATGTAGCAGCAATATCATCTAATCACGCTGGCATTGATGGCTGTACGGTAGGGAGCCATAATCTAGTCTCTCTTTTTCTGCGTGGTGCCCGTAGGTCACACCCGCCGACAGCTCCACGAGCACCAGGTTGGGACCTTCCCTTGGTTCTCGAAGCTCTGTGCCGTCCTCCTTTCGAGCCTCTGTCGCAGGCGGACCTCAAGTGGCTTTCATGTAAGACGGCTTTTTTGTTGGCTATTACCTCAGCAAAGAGGGTCAGCGAGCTACATGCTCTCTCAATCAGCCCCTCATGTCGCAGGTGGGGCCCTGAGGGCTCGTGTGTTACCTTGTGGCCAAACATTGCATTCGTACCAAAGGTGTTATCTCACTCTCACTCCAACCAACCGTTGAGGCTGGCACGTTTTCAGCCTGCGCCTGGTGAGGGGTCTGCATTATTGTGCCCGGTGAGGGCACTGGAGGCATACGTTGCAGCTACTGCCGTGATAAGACATTCAGACCAGCTGTTTGTGTGTTTTGGAGGCCCTAGGTTAGGCTGTCCTCTTTCCAAACAGCGCCTCTCCCACTGGATCGTGGACGTCATCTGCCATGCCTATGCTGCAGGGCCCGGCCCCCTGCCGGTCGGCTTGAAGGCTCACTCTACCAGGAGCGTCTCCGCTTCCTGGGCTGCCCTGAGAGGGGTTCCGCTGGAAGCAATATGTGCTGCTGCATCATGGGCTTCCCCAAGCACGTTCACCAGATTTTATAGAGTTAACGTGGCCACCCCTCATCCCCTGGGCCAGGTTCTTCTACAAGGGTCCTCTGGGCCTCCTCAGTGAGGTAGGTGTTTAGGATTCCTTGTGACATTGTTGGTATTAGTCATTCAGTGCTTTCAGCACCGCCCTCTGGCGGTCAGGAGGGATGAAATAGAACGAAAGTTACGTATGTAACTACGGTTCTATGAATCCCGGATGACCGCCAGAGCTTCTCCGTCACTCAGAATCCTTGCGTTCCGCGAGAAGATTCTGTAGGAGCACAGCAGCGGATGACGTCGGGCTATATAGCCTCTGATTGGTCATCCGTGTCACACCTGTGACTCCGTTGGTATTATTACTCGAATCAGCGCATGCGCGAAGGGAACATTCAGTGCTTTCAGCACCGCCCTCTGACGGTCATCCGGGATTCATAGAACCGTAGTTACATACGTAACTTTCGTTTTAAAAGTAAATGTCAGACACTTGTGCAATAGATGAAAAAACAAACCTGTTTTGGAGCTGGTGCTGTGCTTACTGCAAAAGGAACAATAAATGAGGAAAAACTTTTCACAATAGGTATTTACATGGGATTTGTGTGTGTGTGTCGCAGTCATACTTGCTGAACCAGAAGGAGGCGGCGCCCCAGCCCGCTGCCACTCGGTGGCCTCAGCTGCAAGTTTTCGAACGTAAGGCTCATCAACGCTCATCAGGATGTTTTCTGGTTTAATATCTGTGTGGATGATCTCACACTTTGTGTGCAGGTAGTCCAGGCCTTGGAGAACCTCAAAAACAAATAAACGAAAAAAGTAAGTAGTCAGTTTTAAGAACATTAAAAAAAAAAAAAAAAAATGTTTTAAAACATTCACATAATGCTGATGCAGCCCGTCATTACAAAGATAGTCTTTTTGAATGTCTAAGTACAGATGAGTTTTAACCTATATTTGTTGCAGCATTCCTATTGATGCAGCTGAAGCAAGATAAAACAAAGAACCTTACAATAAGAGAAGCGGGTGCAGCGACACAAAGAAAAATGTGCAACAATTAAAAATATAGGCATATATCAATGTTTGTGTAATTACTCTCACTACAAGGAGACAAAAGATCCTCGTTGCAAGTTAGGATTGACAATTCAAAGCAAACTGAGCTCACTTAATTCAAACCTTCCGTTTCTTATTTTGTATTTACACACGATTTATTATGAAATAAAAAGCTGATGAATGTGTCTGAAGGGACACAAGTCAAAGCAGTGTAAACAAATATAATAAGCTATGCTATTAATCAATAGTCAGCAAGTCTATATAAGCATAACACATTTTTAACAGGATATATAGTCTTTCACTTTAAAGTGACTGGGTGAGTTACTTGTTCTAATCAGCCTAACACTGCTTCCTTGAAAACACTTTGTTACAGTCAGTCTGCGTGACAAGATTGCCTTACAGTTTATGTGTTCGATTATATCAGCCTGTTCTGCCCTGACTGGTTTCCAGCCTTCACACAGCCTGGAGGCTACGTAGCTCTCACAATTGTAACAACTGAGTCATCGGCTTTAAAAAAGGTGAGACCAAGGGGCTTGAGTTACCTGTCTAATGATGCTCTTCACACAGGGCAGCGGCAGCCCTTGGTAATTGGACTTTATTATCCATTTTAATAAGTGATGCCCCAACACCTCAAACACCATGCAGACGTCTGAAGATCAGTAGTTAAGTCCATAATGCACTTTCAATAAAATTAAATTGAAAACACAACTGAGAAAACAATTTAGGAGACAGGTCATTCAGCTACATGGAGGTGGAGTATTAGTTATACTGAAGAGAAGGACTCTCATATTACAGCTGCAGCTATCCCTATTATTCATGGGATCTTAGTCAGTCAGAGTGTTGCAATAGGCTGAGGTCTGTTTAGGCCACACAAGTTTCCATTTACTACACTGATCACCTGATTTTTACCTTTATAGCAACTCTCAACAATAGAAAAGATAAGCTACTCTTTTCTGTCATTTTTTGGAATCAAACATTTCGTTGTTCGTTTGGGAGATGATTTAAGTTCAAATCTCAAGCAAGAAAAATAAAATGACAAAGGTTTTGTTGATATTTAGCCGTGAAGGATACGAGTTCCGTTGACACCAGAGATCTTGAAGTCGTCTAGCAGCTGAACCACCATCTCCCGGTTGGGATCGTTTGGGTCTGAGTTTCTTACCTGAACATGAAGAAAAGTCGTTAAGAAATCAAAACTACCAGAATTTATATTTCCTTATGGGACATTGCACCAGAACTAATTTAGCAAACATTTAAATTCATGCAAACTGTAACACAGTGTGTGTATTTGCTTATTTACACACTTTAAAGTTTTACTTTTCAAAAGTTCAATAAGGCTGATATTAAAATTAAATTATCATACAGATCCAGGATTTGGGATGCTGTTTTGTGGGACTCCATTCTTTAGAAATCAATTTAACTAATGCCACCGGTACGTTTGTTGATTAGATGTTATACTTCATCAATTATATCTTAAGATCTATGTAAAAGATAACTACTTACAGATTTCAACAGTTTTATCTCATCAACTGCTGTCTCTGTGTAGTGTTCTGCACTCTTCACCACTTTCATTGCAACAAACCTCTTAGCTCTGCAACAACAAAGCATGTCATGTTTGCCAACAGGAAGCAACATTCAAGATCATATCACAACAGTAAATGTGCAAGCTGCGATCATACGGTTTGTGCAATAAAGGTCCTAGAGAAGGAAAGAGCACAGTTAAAATATGTTCTCAAATTGTTTTTCGTACTGTATGTCCCAGGCGAGCCACACGGTTGAAAAGTGTCCCCAGCCCAGTTTACGGATCACATGGTATTTCCCGTTGTAAAGGTCTCCTACTTTAACGTGGTGGTATCCACCTAGAAGACAAGAACATGCACACCCTTTAGACAGAGACTGGTTTTGTTTGTTACACAGTAACTAGTGAAACTTTTTTTTTACAAATAAAATGTTATGTCAGAATCTTTACACCTCAACTTCTCCAAATGAGATAAACTGTCGTAACTGTCCCCAGGAAAATAATGCAATATTTCCATTACATTGTTCAGGCTGGTTATTCAGAGTAAATTCATCCCACTGTGCATGTGACAGAAAGACTCACCTTTGCAGTAGTCATTGGGATCCTCCTGCTCCTCATCGTCAGAGCCGAGAATCTCAGGTTCATCGGGTTCCTGAGGTGAGGTTTCTTGTTGAGGCTGTGGTCGAGCGCGAACATTTGCTGGTTGTCTGGTGGGCAAACAAGACAGGCATCACTTAGAACAGAGTCCTTTAGATAATAAACTTTACAGGTCCAGTTTTATTTATTAAACCCTTTTTGTCGATTTTGGGTTGCAGCGAGCAAACTGATGAAAGCTGTGGAAATTGTTTTCTGCTTGATTCCTGACTCAACCTGAGCTCAACCCCGCAGCCTCAGGACTAGGAGACTGCAAAACCGACCACTGAGCTACTGCAGCATTTTTACTTTAACACATGGTACCATTTAAGAAATTTCACAAAATTGTATCAGAAGCCAAATTAATAATTACAAAGTTTAAGACAATTTAGATAGCGCAAAATGCATTACAGTAATAAAATAGTTTTGTGTTACAAGTCACTGTTCTAAAAATAAACCAATAAGTTAAAGTCAAGATGCATTATATACAACAACACATTGATTAAATGGTGCAAAGTTAGCCACACACATTTACAAACTGATCCAATCGCATAAAAAACTAAATCTTGAAAATCAAACTCAGCACAAGAAGAAACCAATGTAATCCTTAAAGAAGCAGCAGCACTTGGCATTATTAATAAAGGGAAGCTCTACAGGCCAGAAACCAGATCTCTGAACCAGTCACAGGTTCATTTGAATTATGTTTCCTGGAAATAAACGGAGTTTCAGAATCGCTGCTATAAGTGTCATAAGCAAAGGATGGAAAGATCCGTGATGGTTTGACTGATTTAGAACTATGATTTATTTTAACAAGTTAAACTTTAGAAGAACATTAAACTGATTTGACTTGCAGATAAAAGTCAACATTATGAGAATATTCTTTATATTTAGCAACAAAACTGTGATATTTAAAAATGATTTTTTTTTTAAATAAAAAGTAAACGAACTATGAAAAAACATTGGCTGGCCCTTAGAATATAACTATTTGCTGAAACCAACATTAAATGCATAACTTGAAACAAAAACCAAAATGAAGAACTGTACATTAGGAAGGTCAGAAGGTAAGAGCAGTCACACCTTCTCATCAAAGTGTGACAAACAAATGACAAAAGAATGGGTCAAAACACAGACGCACATAATCTTTAGCAGTCGGTTTCACCAAAACTAGACGTTTATCTTTGTTCACCAGGACATTTTTTCCTCCATATAAAGAGCAAAAGCCAAGGCTGATCAGAAATGACGCAAACAAAGACAGCCTTTAACTCAGTGCCACATACAGTAGTCCCTCAGCCACCTGCAAGCGTTCTTGGCAACGCCCACTTCTTCTCTCTGCACGGAGAACAGCTGATCAGCTGCAGGAGGAAGCGTATCCTGCAGTGTGGGCTGCACAAAGGTGCAGCAGGTGCTAAATAATTTTAAACTATTTATTTTAAATTTAAAAAATCCATGCCAATCGTGCGGCTCATCCATCAATCAGCCAATTTTGTGTCATGTCCAATCTTATTTTGAAAGACTGCAATAGAGCGAGTCCGCAAAAAAACGAACCGCGAAGTAGCGAGGGACTACTGTAATTTGCACGCTAATGCGAGCGGAGTCAGGCTTGGAGCCGACCCCAAAACTAACAAACTGGGATTTACTCAAAGCATGCAACAAAAATACAGAAAAACAAGGCGCCAAAAGTGAAAAAGAAATAAATCTGCAGCAGCATTGTCCTATTGGCAGAGTGGTTCTGATGACAGTGAGGTTTCTCTTAGCAACATGGTCCCGTTGGCACCATGGTACTGTTAACGGTGTGGTTCGGTAGCGGTGTGGTCTTGTTAGCAGCGTTAGCAGGTCTTGTTAGCAGGTCTCGTCAGCAGCTTGATGGTAATAATGATCGCAGCAGCTGCCTCCCCGACTGCCCTCCAGAAACAGGTTTGGCAGTTAAGGTCCATTCAGTGATTCAGTGATTCATCATTGAAATAAATAAATATGCAACTCAGCTTCAAACAAATTATTAGTCCTTTCATTAACATAAATACTTACAGATCCTTCAATATGTTAAATCAACAGCAATCAAATATGAGTTGATGTTGCTTAAGGCTTCATTTAGTCATGCAGACTACAACAGTGCTTGTGATTAATTCCCCTCAGAGAAAACACTTATGCAAGGATGTATTTATTGTGGTAATGCTAAGTCCATCAATTAAAACAACGTTCAAGTCCTTAAAGCACAGTACTGTCATATTTTCATTATTAGTCAATTGACAATAACACACAACTATTTAGTTGCTGTCAAACGTACCAGCAGTAAAAAAAATAAACACCAGTAAATAAAAAAGAAAAAGATGTAATTATAACTGTTATTATTAATTTTTGCGAATATTCAGCAATTAAAGTAACCATATTGGCATCTTAATCATCAGAATTTACCCTTAGAGTAAAAATGTTGCTGATTTTAGAACAAAAGTTTATCATATCTTGCTGAATGTGTGTGAGAAAAACTCAGTTATTCAAAACTAAACACAAAATCCTTGCAGTTCCAGTTTTCATCATCATTTCTTTTTGCTAAGAAAAATAAATCTAACCAGCAGAACAGCTATGCTGTTAAGCATAACAGCAGAGGATGGGATTAGTTGAACAAAATCAAATAAAAAAAAAAAAGCAATTTAATCAGATTACACACCACAGCTTAAACAGTTTTAAGCAAAGGAATTTCTCATTTTAGTTTAAATAATGTAGAAAACAACTAGGTTAATATTCAGAAAACCAGGCAGTAGGACATTTTAGACAGCGGATAACAAACTGTACACACACTGGCAATGTGGCAAATTGATCAGTGAGTCCGAACCTGTGAGACACTAATGATTTCAGCAGAGTTGCAAGATCTTATTAGCACAGACTGTAAGGAGATAGATATAGATATAGATATATATATATATATATATATCGTTAACACCGCTGTCTCACTATTAGATAAATTATACAACATATTGTGTGTGTATATGGTTAAAAATGTTAATAATTTAAAAATGATAAAACTATTATCATGAACCACAGTAGAATTGCAGGAATATTTCATCTTTACAATAACAGAGTTAGCCGAGAGCAACTAGAATGATGAAAGTTAGGAGGGTGCTTGTGTGTGGGGGAGGGGGGGTCAACATGCTTCAGGGGAAATAAAGTTCAGTACTGTTTAAATTTATGAAAGGAATCACAAGTTTTGCTTTTTTATTTCTATCCTAAAAGGACACACAATGTCTCAGCTGTGATGAAGTTGTCCACCTCCAAGCTGATTCAGAGGGGAAGAAAAATTACAAGAGAGAGATAACAAAAACATTTTGAACAGACAAAAGACAGACTGTTGAGCTCAGACTGGCCAAACACAAAGTTTCATGTTATTTTCCTTTTCAGTACCGCAGTCTTAGAATCTTTTCTTCTACTTAAAAAACAGAAGTTTGTAATCAATGCACAAATATCCTGAACTGTATTACCAGTAAATACAATACAAGTTAGCAAAATGTTCTTTCAAAATTTGCAGGTGTAAGTAAGCATTTACACAAGCTCAAAAGCTATGGGTGGAAGATAATTCACACACACCTTTTTTAACCAACAGGTTCTGCAAAACACTTTCTCAATCACTCTTAACTCACACTCATTCTATGCATTGTGCACACTATAAAGAGTGCTTTTATATCTCTCATGCACCAATAAGCTTATCGGGAAGCAGTGGGGGGTTCTGTGGCTTGCCTAAGGACACTTAGGCATGCTGCAGGTGCTGAGTGACTGAACTCACTACTCTCCAATTAGAAGATGACCTCCCTCCCAGTACTTGGATGCATCACAAACAACGATGAGTCCGGCTACAGGCAGGAGGTGGAACACCTGGAGAGCTGGTGCAGGAAGAACAATCTTCACATCAATGTGAAGAAGACAAGAAGATGGTCGTGGATTTCAGATAGAGCAGATATACCTACACCCACACCCAGAACATATGTAGTGGAAGTGGTCTCCAGCTACAAGTACTTGGTTGTGCACCTGAATGACAATCTCACCTGGGGCAACCACACTACCAGCCTGATCAAGAAAGCTCATCAGAGACTCTACTTCTTCAGGCAGCTGAGGCGAGCTGGTCTGTGAAGCTGTCCTCACCTCCTTCTACAGGTGTGCAGTGGAGAGCATCCTGTGCTCCAGCATCAACGTGTGGCATGGAGGCTGCACAGCTGCAGAAAGAAAAGCTTTGCAGAGCGTGGTGAAGGCTGCACAGAAGACTGTTGGAGTCAGCCTCCCCACTATAACAGACATATACACCTCCAGATGCAGGAAGAGGGACACCTCCATCATGAAGGACCCCACTCACCCAGCACACACACTTTTTGCTCCACTCCCCTCAGGAAGGAGGTTGAGGAGCATTAAGTGAACAGCTTCGACCCTGAAGCTGTTAAGACTCATGAATATCTAATCAGGAAAATCACTGTAAAAAATAAAAAAAAAAATCTAATAATCACTGTAATTCCACTTTAATTGGTGAAATGTAACTTATATGTGCTGTTGATAATCCATGCTGCTGATCTCATGCTGCTGTAGTCATTCATACCCATCTGCTCACCATGGATTCATGTTCGGGCTATTGTTGTTACGCTGTACTGTTTGTGTACATCTTGTATCTTTTGGTGTGCCATTTGGCATTCATTTACCGTATATCTTAGATCATTATATACGGTTTCTTTTTACACTTTATATTTTTGCTATTATTGGGTGTAACTGGGAACCTGTGTACATAATTGCATTCCACATCATGTATGACATGTGATGAAAACAATAAAATTGACTTGAACTTTAACTATGAATGGCGCAAACTGCCCCCAAAGCCATTTGTTAGTGCACGTATGAAGAATGCACATATTTTCATAGAAATCCTAGAAGAAATAAATGATACACTATGTATTTTCATGTTTGCATGCATTCGCTCATTGTAACCACACATACTACCTGACCTGTCAATAGGTAACAGCATTTATTAAAAAGGTAAATATTTTCAACTGATAAAAATTTTCAGTGGAAACCAAGAAAGTTGAGGTCACTATCAAATAATTTCCTAAATTGTGCTAAAATGTCATAACATTGTGTACTTCATGTAACTGGAAGTCCAAGTGCTCCTCTATACATGCTCAGCTCATTAAACATATTTATTTTGACTCATTATTAGAATGCCATAAGGATGTGGCAGTTTGAGCCATGGTCAGAGTGTCAGTATTTCTAGGAGTGCATTTTTCCTTGAAACATCATGCTTCAGTGAGCCGATGTGGGCTACTTCATTCTCTAGATTTAAATATAGCACAGGCTGTTACACAACACTCCGGAGGATGTTAGTGGTGCAGCCATGATTAGTAGATTATTAGATACACCAAAACAATCAGTTCTAGTGATAGATGTTTCAGTTGCTTATTTTCAGTTTTGAAAGACTCAACACAATACTGCAATATTTTCAAATTATAGTAGGGCATTAACTAATTAGGAACAGAACAATGCACTGTCAGTGCAGAAACCTTACACATATTTTACCAAAACAATCGCATTTAAAAACAACTATGGAAGGCTATGGAAGCCCACCCAAGATCAAACTCCAGTAAGATTGGCTCTTAGATAGGTTTGTCTTATGAAATGTTCATCTTTAGATCGTGCACACACACAGTACAAGCATGCGGTGTTAAGGCCCTTGTCAACTTCACTTGCAACCAACAAACATTAAAACTTAAGGAACCAACACCCTTTAACTCAACACAGCTGACACACAAGCAAACAGAGTCCATTCTGCACAACACTGAACCAAGAGTCTGAAATGGATATAAAAACTCACTTTTTGTTGGTCTTTTTCGCCTTCACCCTCTTCTTCCTGGCCTGGAGTGCCAGAACTGAAAAGAACCCGGAGGCAAATTATGTTGCTATTGTTGAGATTTTATTTGTATTTTACAGCTGACACTCATGACAACAATAAGCATGAATCTTAAGACTTAAACCTATTTATAATTAATTTCACAGACAGTAAATCAGAGCATTTTGAGGTGAAATGTGTCGTTTCTGTGGTTACCAGCAGTTAAATTGTATTTGAGGCACCTGTATTACGTCTCCCCTTGTCTGAGCCCCGTTAACATCACTAAGCTACACACCTTCTTATTGGCAACCGCTCCTCTACAACAGTATGGCATGAAGCTATCTATTACCATTATATATATATATATATATATATATATATATATATATATATATATAT